CAAACTTGGAGAATTTTAGCGTTCCACGGAAGTTAACGGTGTCGTTCCCAATGGTTCAGAGAACTTTGATAAGAGAACGTTGGCGAATTTTGGAAAAAATACGGCGACGGTACGGTTCGCCACGAATGGTCTTTAATGGCTGCTCGACCGCGTAGAAAATTAAATAAGGTGTGACCACAGGAAACGTAAACACTGTGCCTAAAAATTCTTTTCTCGCGGAATAAATCGGCCTCCGGTTGGATAGCATAAGCAGGGTCACCGGCTGGTGTTTCACACCCCACGTGAAACGCGGAAACCAGAAAATTACGTCACACACTGGCCTGTCCTGCCACCGGGTGCTTCTCTGAATAATGCTCGCGGTATGCGGCCACTGCAGTACCAGATGCAGTCGCTCTGTAATTCCGACAAAGCTTCAAGCGTTTCGATGTGCACACCAGGCGTTTTTAGAAATTTTTTGACAACTTGTAACTCTGATCCCCATTTTTTGCGGTTTATTAATTAACGTAGTCAGATTTGTTTATATGTAGTTTATATGTAGTTTTATATGTAGTTTATATGTAGTTTCACAAAAAGATTTATGATTTTTATTTGTTTTTACCTTTCCATAAATAAAATCCGTAGTATTTTGGGAATATATCATTTGTATTAGGTTAATGCGTATGATATACTATTCAGCGTTTCCATTTTTTAAGATATATTGAAATATTAAGAATTTCTCGCGTTTTGCACTTTTCTCATATACTAGAAAACACCTTCTGTAACGATTCTCTTTTAAATCTGCTCTATAACCATATTTCCAAAAACTATTTACAGCTACTAAATTGAAGACAAACTGTTCCTGCATTATGAAAACGAAACCGATTCTAATCATCATAACCAATAGTAAATTATGCAATTCCGAGCTGAAATTAACTACTGTTTCTTCATTTCTTCTCTTGTATTATTTATAATCCTTTTTTATTGTTTTATTTTCTTTATAACGATATTTCTATTAATTTCTTATGATAATTTATTCCCTATAATCGTCTTCATTATGAAAACGATCATTCATTATCCAAACAAATTCCTTTCAGTTGAAATTAACTGCTTTTTTCCACCGTCTCTTGACAGATACATCGAAGCCGGAAATAAACTCATGCTTCAGCAACGCGTGCCTCTATACGTTAGTGCTGATTAACTGCGTAAAACACGGTCGAATTGCTTAATTTACACGTTCGTTTTGTCTTCTTTTTATATTTGTGCATTCACTATTGACTGTTCCCTGTACGAACAATCCTGTGTTGCATGGTTCTCTCTCTCTCTCTCTCTTTCTCTCTATCTCTCTGTTTTCCTCCGGTTTATATCGACGGTCCTCATCGCCGAATGAAAGCGGCAAACGCAGCGTTCTGTGATTTATTAACAGCCGCGCAATTGTTCCCAAATCGCTTTAATAATTCAGCTGTTGATTAAACGGGCCTGGGTTCATTTTTACGCGTGATTTATTCCGCTACAAACCTTCCTGTACGCCGTTCTTGATCGAACGAATTCTCTATTGACAATTAATTCTGAAGCAACCCGAATCGTTTGCAAATGAAAAAGAAAAATTTGTGTAAGAGGTAGAAGAGAGAGAGAGAAAAGAGAGGGTGAGAGAGAATGAGAGAGAGTGAGAGAGAGTGAGAGAGAGTGAGAGAGAGTGAGAGAGAGTGAGAGAGAGTGAGAGAGAGTGAGAGAGAGTGAGAGAGAGTGAGAGAGAGTGAGAGAGAGTGAGAGAGAGTGAGAGAGAGTGAGAGAGAGTGAGAGAGAGTGAGAGAGAGTGAGAGAGAGTGAGAGAGAGTGAGAGAGAGTGAGAGAGAGTGAGAGAGAGTGAGAGAGAGTGAGAGAGAGTGAGAGAGAGTGAGAGAGAGTGAGAGAGAGTGAGAGAGAGTGAGAGAGAGTGAGAGAGAGTGAGAGAGAGTGAGAGAGAGTGAGAGAGAGTGAGAGAGAGTGAGAGAGAGTGAGAGAGAGTGAGAGAGAGTGAGAGAGAGTGAGAGAGAGTGAGAGAGAGTGAGAGAGAGTGAGAGAGAGTGAGAGAGAGTGAGAGAGAGTGAGAGAGAGTGAGAGAGAGTGAGAGAGAGTGAGAGAGAGTGAGAGAGAGTGAGAGAGAGTGAGAGAGAGTGAGAGAGAGTGAGAGTGAGAGTGAGAGTGAGAGTGAGAGTGAGAGTGAGAGTGAGAGTGAGAGTGTGTGTGTGTGTGAGAGAGAGAGAGAGAGAGAGAGAGAGAGAGAGAGAGAGAGAGAGAGAGAGAGAGAGAGAGAGAGAGAGAGAGAGAGAGAGAGAGAGAGAGAGAGAGAGAGAGAGAGAGAGAGAGAGAGAGAGAGAGAGAGAGAGAGAGAGAGAGAGAGAGAGAGAGAGAGAGAGAGAGAGAGAGAGAGAGAGAGAGAGAGAGAGAGAGAGAGAGAGAGAGAGAGAGAGAGAGAGAGAGAGAGAGAGAGAGAGAGAGAGAGAGAGAGAGAGAGAGAGAGAGAGAGAGAGAGAGAGAGAGAGAGAGAGAGAGAGAGAGAGAGAGAGAGAGAGAGAGAGAGAGAGAGAGAGAGAGAGAGAGAGAGAGAGAGAGAGAGAGAGAGAGAGAGAGAGAGAGAGAGAGAGAGAGAGAGAGAGAGAGAGAGAGAGAGAGAGAGAGAGAGAGAGAGAGAGAGAGAGAGAGAGAGAGAGAGAGAGAGAGAGAGAGAGAGAGAGAGAGAAATGAATGAGCTGAGGCGAAAAATTGAAAATATCGAATGTCGTATGCGTGGATGTGCTGTTTTGGAAGACTAGATATTAGAGTCATATAATTGTATATGAAAATGACAGAAGAAAAATGTAATAAATGCTATTTAAAAGAGAGTACTTGCTTAACACATTGTTGACCGGAGGATTTATGCAGAATAGCCTGTGATCGGTTATTTTTTATGCAATTTTAATTTCTGTATAATATTTTCAATTCAATCTTCAATGAAAGTAAAAGAGCATTCTCCAACACCGTGAGTGCCATTTTCACTTTCAGTATCAGAATCGATTACGGAGGTTTAATATCTTTTTAGTAGTTTAATATTCATATGGTAGTGAGTCAGAACTATATATTTTCTGAATGACTATCATCTTCCGAATCACTAGTATTGTCATTCGGATGATCAAAGTATCTGCATAAAATTCACCGAAAACTTCTTCACCAAAAAACTCGCGATGTGCCATTTTTGACAATTAAATGATAACATAATTATGTTTATAACTTTATAATTTTATACAAGTATTATAACATTATAATTTGTGTACATAAAAGGGTAGGAGAAAGCCTAATATGATAGAAGATGAATGATAAACACTTCATGAATTTAACATTATAACAACTTCGTACGGTGGTTTTAACTGCATATTTTTCTCTAAATATCTCGGAATATATTTCCGCACAACAACATTTAAGTAACGCAATGCATATTGATATGTCTCTGGCCAACAATGTATTAATGCATATAACATAGTTGAAAAGGAGAATAATGTTTCGAATTAATAAAACATTTCTTAAATAATTGATAAATTCACGAAGTTTTGTAAAATCTAAGGATATTTTTAATATTAGCAGGATTAATTACTATAGTACGAAAACCGAATAAGAAATGTTTCCTTTGTGTTAAATATCATTACATTTTAAATGTTCACATAAAATTTCTTTCCTATAAAATTAAAATATGATCTATATGTTATAAATCATGTTCTATTTCGTGTAGGTAGTCTTCGTCTCCGTTTTTGCTCAGAAATATTTAAACGCTTCTTTAATTTTTATGAACTACCTCATAGGTAGTTTCATTATCTTAATTATTTGTTTGCTGAATGGTATTATGGCGTTATGTAACTATTATAAAACATTATAATCCAAAAGATTGATTTTTGTATGTAAATTATAGAAATGTCATGCATTGGAGCAATAATTGATCCATTATTTAGAATATACTCCATGTCTCAATGCGTTACGAAACATCCTAAATCTAAGGTTAAAAATTGTTATTATTTTTTAATAAATAAATTTTTTACAAATTATATATATTTATATAATTCTTATAAATTATTACTTTCTGCTTCCTTGTTTTTCTTTATAAATCTGGTATAGTAAAAAGAGTAATGACAACGTAATTAAATTACTAAAAGATATTCTTTTTATTAATATTTTCTTTTAAAAAGGGGAGTATTGTATATTTTTATCCTAAGACTGACTTTTCCTCACATGCCCTGCGACACACATGGATTTAGATTATATAATATTTCTTAAATATTTTTGCTTTGATTTCACATTAATTATGTACTATTGTTAATGTAAAAGCTGCAGTATACCTTTCGAAAAAAAATACAACAGGAAGATTGATAAAATTGGTTCAACATTTTTTGTCACTTGCATTGTTTGCTCGAACAAAATTGTCAAAATAATTTTACTGTTCATCTTATTTTGCAGTGTTTCTTCCCTTAAACACATCCATAAATCGATGTTTAATTCGAAGATCTTTATTTAAAAAAAAATTATCATATATCAAATATTATTTTTCTGTTGTTCATATTTAATTTTCACATATTCGAATGCTTATGAGTGGTAGTGGTGTATAAAGCTAAATAAAATTATGTTCCAAATGTTTCATTGCCAGATAATATAAATAATAATTTTTAATAATTCTTCTTAAACAAATAAAAATGATACTTTTTATTATTAATTTCTCTGAACAAACAAAGATAATCATTTTTAGTACTATATTTTCTCGTTTCAAAAATAATACTACAATTTAATAGTAATACGAATATTCATTTTTAAACAATCAGAAATAATAAATTTTGTTATTACTGCTTAAGCAAAATGATAATGTTTTACCTTTGTAAAGCGTATATAAGTGTCGATAAAAATGTTTGACATTGTTGTAACGCGTTTATTAGGGATAGATATATATGAATGAAAAAATGAACGAAAAATAAAAATAGAAGTGTAAGAAAAACACATGGTACAAAAGGTATTCAGATACTCACCACTTTGAGTTTCGCTTGGATCTCGCGAAGTTTTCGCCTAGCAAGCACTTGTATGTGAGAAGAGACCTGCTTTCGCGTTCTCGTCTTGCCTGTCCTCAGTTTGATGTAACGAGCAATCAGCTCGTTTCGACCTGAAAAACACCAAAAAATAAGCGATTAGAAAACTGCATTTGTTCTTCGTTTCTGACTCATTTCAAATTTATAGAAAATGTGAATTAAAGTAATAATTGAATTATTAGAGTTAATCATCCTAACTCTCAGGTAGTATCGTTGGATCATACAGTTATAGATGACATACAGTGGCTGTAAAAAGTATCGACACATCATTCGGCACTCGTATTTGTTATAGCATTTATATTTTAATCAACTGCGTTTATGTATAGATACATATATTAAATTTCTTATGATGTAATAGTACTTTCATATGATTATAAAAATTTGATACTATGAAAATGTTCGAGGTCGAACCTCGATAAGTCAAACCTCTATAATAAGATTACAATTTTTTCCATTCTCTTCCACTTCGCTATGAAAAATTCTAATAGTTGAAATAAAACTTACTTTAATTCGAATTATATGCTATCTGCGTTATTTTACCTCTATAACTCGAGTTTAGAATAGCCAAACTTTTACAACTCTAAATTCATCTTTATAAGTTGAACTTCTATCGCTCCTGTTTCTGCAATTCGATATTGTATCCTTGTCTTCCAACTGTTAGAATTGTCTCAACATAACATAAGACGGAAAACATAAGACGACACAAGCCGTATGCCTATTTCTTTGCTTTTCGGCTACGTGCATATCCACGGAAGTTAATAGTTTTTCGTCAATAGAACATATAATTGCTGTCATCTTCCACGTCTTTTACTTTTGAATTTATGTACAATGAATAAAATGAGTTCTAACAGGAATCTTAAAATTCTAACGCTTTCTGAAAAGGTGAATGTAATTGTGCCTTCATATAAAGCTTCTGTATGTCGAAGTTTCGTTCGTTAAACCTCCTTTACTCTAAAATTTCGATAAGTCGGAATTTCTACAACTTCAAGATTTTAGTTCTTCCTTTGAGGTTCGAGTTACCGAGATTCGACTGTACTTTGTTTAGTCAGTGTTTCTGTAATCATAGTTTGGGAATTTAATTATTTGAGTTGAGCGTACATCGTTTTATTTATCGTCTATATCTTGCATTTTATGTAATAAAGATTTATCGTCTAACATACAGAATACAAATAAAACCCTCATAGGCAAGCCATTGATCATTTATGTTCAATCCTAATTCTTTTATCATCATAAACTTGTACACAATTCCAAAAATTTCTACAATATTTCTCAATGTCATTATCATAATACATTATGTAACCATTAAGAGAAATATTTCGATTCACTTTTTTTGCATATTATAGGAAACGTTGCGAGAAGTAAAGTAAGAAGAAGTGACAACACTGAATTTATAGAATTTTTAATCTGGAATTTAAAATCGGTCATTAGTGTTAAGCAAATTAGCTCAAATCCAATTCATGATTCAATCATACCAGTTAAGGATTAATCTCGTATCCAATTAATATGATAAACATAGAAATAATTTTCAAAAAAACTACGCTCTTAATTAAAGAAAATTCAATAGAAATATTACCCCATTTGCTTTATAAACTCAAATCAATTAACCTGGAAAAGAGGAAACTTTCAAATACATCGAAATCAATTCCGCGCCGTTTCATGAATTCCACTAGTCGGCAAAGATTGCACCTTCAGTTTTCCTCAGCAACCATTTCTTTCCGAAAGTTCGTCGTCTTTCTGCATCGAACCTCGCTAAAAGTTAAAGTATTTTATCATTTGAGTCGTTCGAAAGTCACAACTCCATCATTTGAGAAAAGAAATGATATTACACACGCAGTTTTCAAAATTTAAAATTTTTGAAATTTATCATTACTTGTGTTGTCTTTTGTGATAAATAAATTTATAAATATTATAGAAATTATATGTAGCAAGTCATTTGCTCCTTCAAAGTTGAATACTAATCATATATTTACATAATGAAACTGGGAAAGTAATAACAATAAATGGAGTTAATTAGTTTGACTTCTGAGACAGTTTTATTTAATGCGAACTACGTTTCTTGTTTGGATCGTACATTTATCGAAGAAATTCATGAGCAAATTTTTCATTGTCATAACAGAGTACAAACTCGAATGATCGGTGTATAAATAACTAAGAAATTAAAAAACTACAAATTTTCAGTTACGTCATTGCTGCGATAAATGAAAAATATATGTGAACAAGTTAATGTTTAGTATTAATTCTATAGATATAATTCTATAGAAATAAGATTATTCATTATTTGACGCGATACCAAGGAAAAGGAGCGTCGTGTAGAAATCTACAAAGAAAATAAGAAACGATGAAACGAAAATATTGTTTCATAGGAAAATCGGGGAAACTGTTGGACGCATGTGAACTCAAATTAATTCGAGTGTAAGCTGCACGCAGTTTTTGAGGGCCGATGAAAACGCGGAAGGGTCTTTCGCTCGACAATGAGCGGACGTTCTATTTGCGCGTTTAAACGACTTTTTCTCTTTTTGTGTTGAATCGTGCCAGTGTTGATCGCTTTTTTCTCTCTCCCCCTTTTCGTTTTCCTTTTGTTCGATTTTTTTCTCTGTTTTTCATAATGGAAATCGGTTGATCGAACCGAGTGGCGCTCTTTCGCGTCCGTGTCCCCGAAATAATACAGTAATGTTATCACGGTTTATTGAGCCGTGTGAAATCGTAAAAAAAATTCGATTGCTACCGCGCGCTTCCATGTATTTACGATTAAATATTTCACGTCGCCCCCCGTGCGTCGTTTGTTCCATGATTTCGATTAGTCCGAGATTCGAGAGACAAGAATCGTTATTTCAATATTAGAAAAGTTGTGAAACGAGTGCCTCGTTTTTTATATTACTGTGTTCGTCATCCTTCGATTTTGAGTTGATGAATATCAATAACAATTGGGATTAACAATTATTACTGTTAGGATTATCAGTTATAAAAGGAGTTATGCGATTCAAAAGTGCACTTTAGAATTTATAAATTACTTATAGTTATTTTAAACCTATTCATTTTAGATCCAATCTAAACGTGTCTTTTTATTTTTAACATATATATTTATATATATATTATATACATATATATATTATATACACATATATATTTCTTAAATATCTAATTTCCTCAAACTCCTTACTACTTATCATTAAACTGCGGGTTTTTATGCATTTTATGAGAAATTTAAAGACAAAGAAGTGTACAGAATGCACGTAATATATAGTAGAAATATATTAGATATTTAAAGTACAGTATCTTCTACAATGTTTAATAAACGAAACTCTATCTAATATCCCTATCTAGTTATAAGTTCCAGTTTGTAAATTATGTTTATAAAAATACTAATTTGCACAAATATCCGTAGTTTACTCTTATCGTTATATACAAGAATCGTTATTGTAATATGTATGATCTTTCGTCCCACGCGTAGCATACGCGTAGTATAGTATATGCGTACAGAATCAACATGGCATTCTGAATACACAGTTTCAAATAGTTTTCGTGTTTTTGTAACGAAAGCAATAAAACTTGTGAAACGCTATAAACTTAGATTTGGAATGAGGCTAGAAAAAAGTTATAAACAAATTCTACTTCGTTAACTCATTTGTAATATAGGCGCAACAATGATCTTGCTATGAGCGCTTGTAAACTTGCAAATAACACCAAATTAGTAATATCAAAGTAAACTTATAATATTAATGATATAACTTAGTGCTTGTAAAAGATTGTAAGACTATACTGTACTGTAAGACTACTTGCAAGTTACAAGTTGTAGGTTATATACTACTTTTTCAAAATCGTACAATTTTGCATCAAATAGGAAAAAACTAAAACAGTTAGAGAATTTGTAATTTGTAAAGCTTACTGATTAAAAAATATTTCATCTCTTACATATATTACCAAACTTATTACTATGTGATGCAAAAGAATTTTATCTTTTAACCAAAACCTCTTTGGTTACCGGTAACCATTATCGATGGCAGATTTTTTTTGGTTAGTAGATAATGGTTATTCGTAACCAGACACTTAAAAATTCATGTTTTTTGATAATCTAATATTTTTAAAAGTCTTTAGAAAATTTATTGAATTTGAAGAAAGATTAACTTTTTTTCAAATACTTTTTACACAACAATTTTGAAAATAATATATTTTTGTCAGAACCAATACAAATGTTCTCTCTCTCATTTACTTCAACGTTGCTTCAGTATTTTATTCTACATATATCTTAAGCTATACATATCTAGGATTAATATCGATAAATCGTGCGCAAAACAATTTAAAGCCTATCTTATTGAGTTAGTCTCGACATTACGATATATCAGAGAATCTCAACGAACGGCAAACGAGGAATTCTTTGGAGCAAGTTCTTTGGTGTGTGCAGCAACGATCGAAATAAAGTTTTAAAAATATTATTTTATTATAATTTTAGAAAACGAAATTCTATTCTGCAAGAGCGATGCATAGACGTAAATGAAGAATAGACTACTAAAATAATAGTATTTATATGGTGAAAAGTGTGTAGTACAAAGTTACTAATACTCGTATTAGCAAGTTCCAATTTTAAACTTTCTTTTGACCACAGCAGTTTATCGAAACGAAGTGACGTGATTCTGGTTACTGCATGGTAAACGTTATTTCAATTACGACGCGTTTGATGTCGTCTGGCGCCGGTTTTATGGGCACGGCCGTAAAGTCTTAACGGCTGTGAAATCTAAGCAACGATAAGGTGCCACATAGAATGCCATTTATTCGATTCAATCGACTGGAAATCAATTCATCGTTCACCCCCGCCACCCTCCTTTTCTATTCTCTCTCGTTTGTTTTTGTTCCTACCTCTTAGATTACGTTTCATGATCGAATATCGCTTGTCATTTCCCGCTGGATTGTCCCATTGAGATTGCATCGATCAAGGCCATTTTTCAATCGGCCAACCGATTCATTTCCAACGTTTTCGATTCGTGAGAAAGTTTACGGATGTTCTTTAGTCGATGTATAGATACGAATGTTCGATGGAACAGGTGGATTTATTTTTTAGGAGAGTTTTTGATTCTTT